TTCTTTCTTTCTTTCTTTCTTTCTTTCTTTCTTTCTTTCTTTCTTTCCTTCTTTCTTCTTTCTTTCTTTTTTTGAGACAGAGTTTCTCTGTGTAACCTTGTCAGTCTTGGACTTGCTTTTTAGACCAGGCTGGCCTCGAACTCCCAGAGATCCTCCTGCCTCTGCCTCCCCTGGTGCTGGTATTACAGGTGTGTGCCACTGCACCCAGCTTCTAAGTTGTGTTTTGGACCTGGATCTTGAGTAGGATTTGGAGCTCTCGCCTTAGATTAGGCTGGCGACCAGCTACCCCCAGGCATGGTCCTGTCTCTGCTTTCCCAATCTGGGATTCTAGGCCTGTTCCGCCAGGCCCATCTTATGTGGATCCGGAGCAATCCAACTCTGGTCTTCAAGCTTGTGAGACGTCATTTGCTGGCTGTGCTGTCTCCTAGGTCCTCAGCTGGGTTATGTTGTTGCTGTTTTGTGGTGCTGGTAGTTGAACCCCAGCAAGCGCTGTACTACTGAGCCAAGACCCAACCCCTCACCTGGGGTTCCTGGCACACCCAGGCTGTCACTGGAGACTTTGGGTCGGAATTTTACTGTTGAGCCACACCCTCGGTGCTTGCCTAAACCACCTTCTGCTGAATGAGTTTGAATGTGAAAGTGGGGAATAGAAACCTTTTTGTTTGTTTGGTTGGTTTGGTTTTTGTGGTTTATTTTGTTTTGTTTTGTTTCTTTTTTGTTTTTTTGAGACAGGGTTTCTCAGTGTAGCCCTGACTGTCCTAAAATTCTCTGTAAACCAGGCTGGCCTGGAACTCAGGGATTTGCCTGCCTCTGCCTCCCAAGTGCTGGGATTAAAGGTGTACACCGCCACTGCCCAGAGCAGAAACTACTTTTAAGTTAGGACAGATAACATGAGGAGGACATGAGTGTGTGTGTCAGAGAAAGCTCCGTGGGCTGCAGCGATGGCTTGAGGGTTAAGAGCACTTGCTGTTCCTGCAGCAGCCCGGGCTTGTTTCTCAGCATCACTGCAACGGCAGCTCTGCGGGATCTGACGGCCTTGTTGACCGTGGAGGGACTGCCTGCCCACGGTGCGCAGGCGGGCAGGCAAGACATCCATACACACAAAAAAATTTAAAATATCTTTAAAAATACATACTTTATGAGCTGGGCATGGTGGTGCATGCCGTTAACCCCAGCACTCAGGAGGCAGAGAGAGGTGGGTCTCTGAGAGTTGAAAGGCAGCCTTGTCTACAGAGTAAGTGCTAGGCCAGGCAGGGCTACACAGTGAGATCCTGTCACACAAAAGAAGACAAACAAAGCTGGGCGAGGTTCGACACAGGATTCCTGGCTGCCTTCCACATGTACCTCCCTGTCCCCACCTCTCCTCCCTGTGGAGACTGCTCAAAGGCAGGTGCCCTGACCCTGCACCCCAATGTGTGTCCACTAGGAAACCCTGGAGGACCTTGACAAGAACAAAGACGGCTACGTCCAGATGGAAGAGTACATTGGTGAGCAAGACGGTTCGAACCTGAAGCCCGTCATGTCCCGGCACGAAGGAGAGCAGTATTGCATGCCTCCAGCACTGCCCTGACCAAGCACCCACCGTGTGCACAACGCGCTGCGTGGCCAGCCCAGGAGGCATCACTGGGCGCCTGCTGCAGAGAGCATCGGACACAGAGGCCCTTTTTGGGAACAGCTGGGGTCTCCACAACGCCATGGCTCAGGGGCTTTGTTGGATGTTCCAGGCTCAAGATTTATCTTGTTTCCACAGTGAATCTCCTGCCACCAGCTGTCCCGGTCGGGATAATTTGAACAGCTGTCCCGGTTGGGATAGTTTTGTTTCAGCCCATGCGCTTACTGTGTCCCTACTGCAGCCGTGCTCAGGACCAGAGTCTTGAACTCGGAAGTGCTATTGAGGAGAAAATCTGGTTTGCTGGTTTAAAAGAAGTTTTGTTTTGCTTTTTTTTTTTTTTTTAAATTTTCTTTTATTTTTGAGCTAGGTCTCCTGCAACCCAGGCTGGCCGGTGAACTTGCTGATCCTTGTGCCTCCGCCTGCACAGGGCTGGGGTCACAGGGACTTCAGCCTTGCTCTGCTTATATAGTGAAACCCAGGGCCTGGGCCTTGCTAAACAGGCACTCTGCCAACCAAGCCATGTCTTTAGCCCCCATGCATGGACCTTTTTTAAGTTTCAAAAATGAAATGAAATGTTTCATGCAACAAATCAGCATGGAAGACATTTTGTTTAACATTTATGTGTTTGCAACTTTTGTAAGAAATAAGGGCTTTATTTTTTCTCTTTTATATATATGTGCTGTGTCTTCCTGCCCCAGAAGAGGGCATCAGATCCCATTACAGAGGGTCATGAGCCTCCATGTGGGTGCTGGGAATTGAACTCAGGACCTCTGGAAGGGCAGTCAAGTGCTCTTAACCACTCTTGAGCCTCCTGTAAAAATTTTTTAAATGACAGGTTTTATCTCCGGAAACAAATTTGACAGGTAGAAGGTGTAGGAAGATGGCCAAGGGTGGGGACGAGCAGTTGGGATGGAGTGGGCAGGGTAGGGAGGTGGGGTTAGAGGGCATCCAGGAAGATGGCCCTGGGGGTGCAGGATGAGGCCCTTCCAGGCATCCAGGGCTGCCCCTGGTCCGTGCCCCACTATCCCCCATCCCTTTCAGCTGACCTGTACTCTGCGGAGCCTGGGGAGGAGGAGCCTGCCTGGGTGCAGACAGAGCGGCAGCAGTTCCAGGACTTCCGGGATCTGAACAAGGATGGGCGGCTGGATGGCAGTGAGGTCGGTTACTGGGTGCTGCCTCCATCCCAGGACCAGCCCCTGGTGGAGGCCAACCACCTGCTGCACGAGAGCGACACGGACAAGGTGAGCCTGGGCAGCTGTGGGAGTTAGTTAGGCCAAGACCCAGAAAGGGAAAGACAGAGACTGGGAGACAGACCCAGAGAACTGAGATGGAGGATGGAGGCCTAGAGGAGAGCAAGGCAAAGGGAAGCTCCTGAGACATCTTGAGGGGGTGGTGTCCCGTATGGGCCCTGCCTCCTGCTGACCCTTGCCCACAGGATGGCCGTCTGAGCAAAGCTGAGATCCTCAGCAACTGGAACATGTTTGTGGGCAGCCAGGCCACCAACTACGGGGAGGACCTGACAAGGCACCATGATGAGCTCTGAGGCCTAGGCCTGCTCCGACTTCTGACCTCATGGGGCAACCGAGGGGCCGAGGCAGGCTGCCCCTCCCTCCAGGGCACGGGCTCAGCTTTGGTGCCCCCAGTTCTTAGGTCCTCAGGGACCCACCCAGTCACCTTTGGTCTCTGAGACCCCTGCCACCAACCCTGGGGTCCCCAACCTGCCCAGGACACTCAGGCACTCCAGGGATAAGCGACACCCACTAATACCATCCCCCAGCAGAGATCCTGGGCCCATACCCTGACCCAGCCCCAATCTGAGCCTCAACCACACACAAGGTAACCTGTACTGCCCACTGTCCAGGAACAATAAAAGCCACTGCGGGGGTCCTCTGGTACATGTCTGTTTCCCTGGGAGTGGGGTGAAGGATGCTGTGCCCAAGCAGGAACATACTGGGAACTGGCGCTGAGGCCTGCAGGAAGGTGATAGGTCGGGGGTTCTCAACCTGTGGGTCCCAACCCCCTGGGGTTGAAGAGCCCTTCACAAAGGTCACACATCAGATAGCCTACATATTAGATATTTACATTATGATTCACAACTGTAGTCATGAAGTAGCAACAAAATAATTTTGTGGTTTTGGGAGGAACTGTATTAAAGAGTCACAGCATAGGAAGGCTGAGAACCCCTGCTCTAGGACGTTTGGACTCGGAGATGGGTGTTGGTGGAAATTTGAGGGCGTTTCCAGAGACTGAGAATAAAGCCAGCAGCCTGGAGGCTGCAGAGGAAAGACAGGCAGGAAGTTCCGCCCTTGAACTGCTGCAGGGCGGTGGGGAAGCAGGAAACCACAGCACAGAAACAGCCACCGTTCTCTGAGCTACCCTGTGATTCACCTACTGATAATGGAATAGCCAGGAATGAGGGAGAGAGGGCCTGGGTGTCGGCTGCGCTGAGCTAAAGGGAGAGTGGCATATGCCTGAAACACCAGCACTCCAGAGTCTGGGGCAGGAGGATTGCTGGGAATTCATGTTCAGCCTGGGCTACAAAATAAGACCCCTGGAGTGGAGAAAGAGGTAGGAAGAGGGAAACAATGTAGTTATACTTTAATTTAAAAAGGGGAGGGTGCAAAAAAAACAAAAAACAAAAAACAAAAAAAAAAAAAAAAAAAGAAGGCAGGTAGTGGTGAATGTCTTTAATCCTAGTACTCTAGAGGAAGGCTTATCTCTGTGAGTTTGAGGACAGCCTGGTCTATGAAGCAAGTTCTGTACAGCCAGAACTGTTACTCTAACCCTATCTTGAAAAAAAAGGGTGGGGTTAGGCAGGGGGGACATCCTGGAAAGATGGATCAGTTAAAAGAGGCACAAATATGGATCCGAGCACCCAGGGCAGCCGGCTCACCAGTGCTTGTAACTCTCCCTGGGGACTCTGATGGGTTCTCTTGCCTCCTAGGGCACCCGCAGGAATAAAATAATTAAAGCCAGTGAAAACGGGGGCAGGGGGTGCCTGGCTGGCTGGCTCAGCAGATGTCTTAGGCTTTCAGTGGCATTGCTAAAACCCCGTAAGAAAAAGGAACCTGAGGGAGAGTGTACTTTAGATCACAGCTCACCACTGCAGGAAGTCGGACTGAGGTAATGGAGGATCAAGCTCACTAGCTTGTTCCCATGACTTGTTCAGCCTGCTTCCTTAGAGCACCCAGCACCGCCTGTTCAGGGCTGGGCTCAGCCGCCCCACAGTAACCATCAGTCAAGAAAATGCTCCTCACACTTGTTCACAGGCCCAGGCCGTGGAGGCATTTTCTCAAGATTCTTTCAAGCAGGGTGTTTTGGGTCCTGCCTTTAATCCCAGCACCTGAGAGGCAGAGGCAGGTGGATCTCTGTGGGTTCCGGGGCCAGCCTGGTCTACATAGCTGAGTCCAGGACAGCCCGGGCTACACAAATAGACCCTGTCTCAAAAACAAAGATGATTTCTTCCTGGGGGTGGAGAGATGGCTCAGGGGTTAAGAGCACTGGCTGATCTTCCAGAGGAGCCGGGTTCAGTTCCCAGCACCCACAGCAGCTCACAACTGTGTAACTCCAGTTCCAGGGGGTCTGACACCTTCACAGGCATACACTGTCAGGCAAAACACCTATGCATATGCAAAACATCTATGCACATAAACAAACAAATAAGAGATTCTTTCTTCACTGCAAGCACGAGCTGGGCGTGGTGGCACACGCCTGTAATCCCAGCATTCAGGGAGGCAGCGCAGGCAGTGCTCTGTGAATTTGAGGGCAGCCTGGTCTAAATCCAGGTCAACCAAGGCTAGAGACAAACAAACAAACAAAACCAAAGAAACTAGCCGGCACAATGGTAAAGGTCCTTCCTAGTAATCCTGATTACTTGAGGGACTGGACCCAGAACTTTTTAATATTTTGTTTTGTTTTTTGAGACATGGATTCACTGTATGGCCCTGGCTCTCCTGGAAGTCACTTTGTAGATCAAGCTAGCCTTGAATTCAGAGATCCACCTACTTTTTCCTGCTGTGATTAAATGCATTAGACACACTTTTTAATGAGGTCCATGTCAGGGTCTTCCTTAAAGATTCCAAACTGTGAGACAGCTAAGGTGCTCGTCTGCAGAAAAAGTGGAGGCTTCTCAGGGACTTGGACATCTTAGCCTGGGTCAGGGGACATCAGAGTGCAATTTGGCCCAGGCTGTGTATTTCAGAGAGAACTGGATGGCGTGTGCGCCCCCTGCTGGCGAATCCCGGGACTGTGCCAGAAGCATCCACGGGCTGGGAAGTCACCATGCTTTCCCGGGTGGTTCGGCCTGTAAAATTCACCCAGCTCCCCACACAGGACACTTGTTCACTTAGGAAAATGCAAGGTATCTCTCAAGGCAGTTCATCTTGTTTACTTTTAGTGTTGAAAAACTTTGTGCGTTCAGGTGGCTCGACAATCTGTTGTGTTCTCTTGCCACCACACAGGTTTTGGGGATCCGGGGGGGGGGTTCTGTTGTTAACTTCTAAAGCAGTCAACAAAGTGATGGGAATGCTTATTATAGCATATAATGCCTATTGTAGCATTGGGCCTGGCGTACCAGAATTAGGACCCAGGTTCTGATCTTTTTACAACATCCCAGTTTATCACTGGGGTGTCTTAGGCAGGAACCACTGAGTCACACATCATATACAATGTCTTGTTCTGCGGAAGAGAACTATTTTTCTTTAAATAAAAAATCGCTTATGTGTGCCTGTGTCTGGCCTGCATATACGTTCATACACCACGTGTGTCCAGGGACCAGCAGTGGCTTGCAACCACCTGGGTTCGGAGTTTCAGGTGGTTGTGAACCTCCACGTGGGCGCTTGGGACGAGACCTGGGTCTTCTGGAGGCGCAGCCAGTGCCCTAACTGCAGAGCCACCTCTCCAGGCCCACACTCCTCTCCTCTAAGCTCTGGCTCGTTGGAGCTCAAACCGTACTGTCAGTTCTTTCTCCTACTCGTCAGTCAAGGCTTTGAGGCCTTGTGGGGCTTTGTTTGCCTGTTGAGACAGGGTTTCTCTGTGCTGCCCTGGAACTCATGAAGGTCCACCTGCTGGAATCAACCCCTGCGTGCACGTGGGCTCCAGCTGGCCCAGCTGGGGTGTAAGGAGCACAGCTGGGCACTTCAGCTTTCTCCCTCCCCCCCCCACCCCCCATTCTTCCAGGCTGGACTTGAATCTGAAATAATCGTCTGGCTTCACACTCTGGAATTCTAGGATGACAGGTGCGCACCGCCAGGCCGAGCTTGGATGTCCAAGATGTGTCTCCTGGCACATCTTGACCTGTCCCTGGCTGGAAGAGACACAAGCAAAACTCTCATTTGCTTTGCAAATTTTCCCTGATTTCCTCTTTCTGGTTACTTTAGGTGTCTAGGTACTGTCTGTTGTGTGTGTCCCTGTGTGAGGCCACATGCCTGGGCTGGGTGTCTTCCGCTATTGTCTACATTCCTTTGTGAGCGGAGGTCTCGCTGGCCAGGGAACAGGACGCTGTGGCTGGTCTCTGGTGCTTCGATTGCAGGGGTCTGAACTCAGGCCCTCCAGCCTTGCACTCTCAGCAACTGAGACATCTCCTCAGCCCAGCGGCTCTGCTTTAATCCAGTTTATCTTTGGTTGGTTGGTTTTATTTTTTTTCCTGGGAGTGTTGAAATTCAAATCCTGCGTTCAGCCTTTCAATGGTGGTGGCCGCCTGCCCTCTAGTGGCTACAGGCGGGAGCCACTTGACTAGGCATTTAAAAGGCTCAAGTTTTGGGAGGCTGTGTGCTTGACAGTGTCTTACCAAGATTATACCCAGGCAGCAAAGATCCAGTGTCCTGATACACTCCGCTAATGGAGACACTGTCGGTAAAGCAGGAGGGTGGAGAACACGCTCACCCCACCATGCCCGGACACACACACAGTTACAGGAACACTTGCTGAGGTGTGCAATTCCCCGTACAAAAAAGGAAGGAGGAGCTTTCGGTTCTGCTTGGAGACGGGGTGGGGTGAACACGTTTAGGGCGGAGGAACTCTGGGGCACCCTCAGGGAAGTTGGGCTCTTGAGGGGTGGGCTCCAGGTGTTCAGGGGGAGGTGGGCAGGACTGCTCGAGGCGAGGTGTGGCAGTGTGCTGGGACTGTGGGGTCCCTGGGCTGAGGGCACATGGTGGGGCAGGTCTGTGTCTTGGGAGGGGGTCTCTGCAGTAGCTGGCCTGGGACAGCACTGGGCCCTGAGTCCTGCACTTCCTGAGCTGAGCAGGTGCCCTGTCTCAGCTCCTGGGTGAGGTTGGGGGAGACTCCGAGCTGAGGGCTGCGGAGTGGAGAACCCCACACCACAAATGAGAATCCAGACATACAGTTTGCTCATAGGCAGGTTTATTCCGTCACAGCTCACGCCTGCATCACTGGCCTGGACATTTCCGCCTGCAGCTTCACTCCGGAGCCTGCAAAGCCTGTACCGCCCTGAGAGGAGGAGAGAAGAACAAGCTGGAGGGGCCTGATGGGCTGGGCTCCAGGCAGCAGAGGCGATTGCTATGTGGGGCTGGGAAAAAATAAGTTGCAGGAAATGGAGGGACACAGAAGAGACTGGATAGGTGGGGTGTCTTTGTGGAAGGGGGCTGAGGTCCCGGGACAGGGGCAGGGAATTGGGGTGGCGCATTAGAAAGAAGAACGCAAGGCGCTGTGGTGGGGAGGAGAAAGGGCGTGCAGCACGGGCCAGGGTGGGGTAGGGCAGCTCACCCGCTGCAGCACGATAATGTCCCGCTCCGTCAGCGTCTCCCCGTTCACGGGGTCCACCATGTCCTTCCGGATCAACTTCTCGACGCACTCCAGGGTGACCACGGCCCCGCTGCAGGGGAGGACACAGTGCAGAGGTCGGCCAGGCGGCGTCCGGGCCCCTCCAGCCCCTCTCCCCGCCCCACTCACGAGGGCCGCAGCACGGCACACGGCGTGGCGTTGCTCAGGCTATCTCGGGTCACCGCGCACACGTAGCGCTCACTGCGTGTGATGAGCCCCACGCGGTCCACAGAGCCGTCCAGCTGCGTGAAGCGCACCGGCGTCAGGTCCGACATGCGCAGGGGCTTCCCAGACATCGGGCAGGTCACGGTGCGGGACTGTGAGCAGAGGCGGGTCAACAGGGAAGACGGGCAGTCAGGGTCCGCCACGCGGGCAGTGGAAGGGGCATGAGACGCGGGGGCAGCGGCCAGGAGGGACAGGAGCCTGGGACACTGGGAGCTCACCGGCTTCTCCAGCTTGGTGGCCTTGGCCTCGGGGGTCAGTGAGGGGATCCAGAAGCTGGGCAGCGCTTTGTCCTTGTCCTTGCCTAGGGGACCCGCACTGGGCCCTGGCTGCTCACCATCTGTGGAGGGGAGAAGCTGGGGTACACAACTTGGGAAGCCGCTCCCTGAACACCCGCCCAAGGGCAGGCGGTTTCTCGTCACCTGTACTGGGCACGGCGGCAGCCTTGGGCATGAAGGGGTTGAGGGGCCGGCTCACGATGGCTGCCTCCTTCTCCAGGAAGCCTCGGACTTGGTCCTGGGCTGCAGCTCGTTGCAGCTCTTTCTGCTCTTCCCTCCGGGCTCCTCGCTGCTTCTCATAGGCCTGGGGGAAGAGGAGCCTAGCTTAACACCCGGGGAGTCGGGGGTGGGTGGGGATCCTGGTACCTACTCCATCCCTCCGTGGGAGGATGGAGCAGCTTCGGCAGGGACTGGCAACTGCTAAGTTGGCCCTGGCACTTCTGAATCTGTGTGGGACTCAGTCTGCCTGCTGAGAGGTCTTCTCAAGGTGAGACAGGGGCTCACATAGCCCAGGCTGGTCTGGAAGTTGAACTGGGGACCTTCCACCCACCAAGTCCCGAACCACCACACCGGGTTATCTGGTGGCGGGGTGGACCTAGGGCTTGCTTGCTTAGTCATGCACACTGAGCAAGCACTTCACAGCTGAGTCACAGCTCCAGCCAAAAGGTGACATCATGCAAGTTTTGGTATCTTTAAAAACTCAGTTATGAGGCTGGAGAGATGGCTCAGAGATTAAGAGCACTGGCTGTTCTTCCAAAGGTCCTGAGTTCAATTCCCACCAACCACACGGTGGCTCACAACCATCTATAATGAGATCTGGTGCCCTCTTCTGGCCTATAGGCATAGATGCAGGCAGAATAATGTAAAAATAATAATAAATAAATAAATCTTAAATAAAAATTCAGTTATGTAAATATGTTTTGGAGAGACCAGAGAAGGAAGGTGTAGCAGCCTGGAGCAGACAGACAGAGAAACGTTTCAGTGCCGCGGCTTGGAGGAGTCGGCTTGCTGCATTTGCTGTTGATGGAGATTGGTATATCCCCAAAAGAACCCATCAACCCTACACAGCCTGGGGGAGTAAAGGGGTCTGTGCTCCTCTCCCCACTAATCTCTCTCTTACCTAGGGTTAAAGGGTTGGTGGAATGGAGGTGGAGGCTTAAACACCCAGATAAAAGAAGAGTTTAAAGGCAAGCACCGCAAGGTGACGCTTCTCAAGTGCCTAGAGTGTGCTGGTCGGACAGCATGCTGGCCATCCCGAGAGCCTGTCCAGCCTCGGGGTTTGCCTCGGAAGTCTGTTGAGCAGTACAGTGTGCTGGGCTGTGTGACCGGAACAGGTAAGGTATGCCCCTTGCTCAGGCCTGCCTGGCATCCAGAAGGTGTCAGGTGGTCATCTGTGGAGACTCCCTGGGTCACCCGGCTGAGGTGGTGACAGTACCTAAGCCTGAGGCCATGAGGCCTCCAACAGGGGCACCCATGATACGGGAAGAGTCTGGCTAGCCACTGGGCTGGGAGGACGGGGTCTGGGGAGCAGGTGCTGAGCGCGCCTGAGGCGAGAGGCGGAGAGCAGGGATGACACTGAAGGTGCGTGGCCTGTGAGGCCCTGGGTTTCACCCCTGGTCCAAACCAATCCCTCAGTGTGTCTCGAGCACCGGAAAACCGGGCTGCAGAAGGAAGGGGGCCAGATCCAGTGTGCTCCCACACAGGAGTGAAGGACACCTCCCAGACGCCAGGGTGATGGGCCTGGACCACAGTGAGCACACAGGGAGATCTACTGTGTCTCCAAGCCACTGGCCCTCATTTCACCCTGGTGGGCATTGTACAGATGGTAAGACTGATGCCCACAGAGAGTACCCATTTCCATCGAGAGCCTCTGCTAAGTGCCTGGCTGAGGAGAGCCGGGAAGCTGCTCCTGAGGGCGGTGGTCCACAGTGGACACAGGGAGTCTGAGGGCACACACGAGTCACAGGTTCCTGGAGTGGGGTTGGCGGGTGTGCCCCGAAGCCCTGGCCTGCAGGAGGTCAGCACAGATGCTGCCTGGGCTGAGAGCTGAGTAGAACTATCTGAATGGGGGGGGGGGGTTCCAGGGAGAGACCAGCATCAGTGAAGGCCCCTCCAGAAAAGGAACTGGGATCAGAAACTGCCCCTGTGTCCCTTCACTTCTCAGCCCCTGTCACCTTCATCTGCCGGGCAATCTCCTTCTTCTGGTGTAGGATGTACTCCAGGATCGCCTCCCGTTCGTACAGGTAGCCATCTGGGCTGCAGAGCAGGGAGAGGAAAGCATGGGTCTGGCCAGCCACAGGGCCGGGGCTTCATCACTCACTTCTACCTGTGCACACTCTCCACCCTGGGCACCACTAAACATCCTTAGGTGACATCTTCCATAGTACTCCCTTCAGCCCAGCTCTTTTTATTTGCTTTTGAAACCTGCAACTCAGGTTAGCTTCAAACTGCGATGTAGCTGAGGCTTGCCTTGAACCCCTGACCCTCCTGTCTGCGTTGCCTGAGTGCTGGGACAACAGGTGTGTATTGCGTGGCATGGGCGACGAACCCAGAGCTTGCTGCATGCTTGGAGAAGGCCCTCCCCCCGAGCCAGCCACAGCAGCACTAAAACCACACGCGCCAGCTGCCCCTCTGCCCCCGCTCACGTGACCACAGGATCATGGCAGGGCTGCAGAGAAAGACAGCAGCAGTCGAAGTCCTTCACGGCATCCCGGCTTAGCCTAATGTTCTGGGTCCCATAGCCAGAGGCCGCTGGGGACAGAAAAAGGGTAGTGGTGAAGGGATGAGTGGGGACATGCCCTTCACTAAATGCCCAAGACAAGTATGGAGGTTGAGTGGGACCCACAAAGGCATGGCTAGGCCAGCCTTGTTCCGCTGCAGCAGGGTGAAGAGACCGTGGCTGGCTTCCCTCTCCTGGGGTGGGAACTCTGCTTTGGCTCTCAGCCTTCCTTTCTGCAAAGCTGGTGCCCAGGGATGGGGAGGAGACGGAAGTGACATGGGACGGTATGTGTTAGAGGACCACATGGGCCATCCTGGCTACGGTCACCACCATGAGTATACACGGGGCAGGGACAGGCCATTCAAAGGCAGAACAGGACAACAGGGGAGTAGAACAGCCACGCCCCCACAGAGGGTGATGGCAGGGATGAGAGTAGGGTCCCCAAGATGGTACCTGTGTCCTTCTTCTTTTCGTGGTAGGTGTAGACAGCCCCCGCAGTGCAGTTTTTGCCATGCCGTGTCATCCTGTGGGAAGAGGGGAAGTGGCAGGGCTGGGGCGACCCCAGGACACTCCCACAGAACCTGACAACCTCCTGGGCTTATGGTCAGGAGCTCTGTTCCAGGAGCCAGTTCAGCAGCTCAACCACAGCCAGAAAACACAGAGGTGCACGGGTCTGAAGCAGGAGAGAGGATGGCAGTGTGCAGCCACTTCCTTTTCTTTTTGAGACTGAGTCTCAATATGAAGCTCAAGCTGATCTCAAACACTACCTGCCTCTGCCTCCCGGGTGCTGGGTTTAAAGGCACGCACCACCGCCACCCAGTATCTTTATGTTTTATTTATTTATTTATTTATTTTGAGACAGGGTTTCTCTGTGTAGCCCCAGCTATCTGGACTCAAGTTTGTAGACCAGGCTGGCCTTGAACTCACAGCGATCCGACTGCCTCTGCCTCCTGAGTGCTGGGATCACAGGTGTGCGCCTTGCAATAGGCTTCTTTATGTTTTAAAAACAGTATCTCAGGAGCTGGAGAGATGGCTCAGAGGTTAAGAGCACTACTTGCTCTTCCAGAGGTCCTGAGTTCAATTCCCAGCAACCACATGGTGGCTCATAATGAGGACTGATGCCCTCTTCTAACGTGCAGGCTATACATGCAGTATAGAACATAATAAATAAATCATAAAAAAAAAACAGTATCTTACTCTGTAGGCCGTGCTAACCTTGAATTCTAGGCAAAGCAGGCTTTGCCACCACATCCAATCAGACAGGGTTTTTCTGTGTAGTTCAGGCTGTCCTGGACACACTGTAGACAAGGCTGGCCCTGAACTCACAGCAATCCAACTGCCTCTGCCACCATGCCCAGGTCACACATCCAGTTTACAAAGCTCACGCTGGGGATCCAACCCAGGGCCCTGCGCTAGGCGGCGCTCAATGGACTGAATGCACCCCAACCCAACCCTCGGTGTGTGCTAATGATCCTGGCATTTGGGAGGTGGAGGCAGGGTAAGGAGCTCAAGGTCATTCTCATCGACACTGTGACTGGGAGGTCAGCCTGGGCTATATGAGACTTTGCTCAACAGACAAAACAAGTTCCCATGTAGGACACTTTGGCAACACAACTGAAACCTTGACTTAAAAAAACAATCAGCCAGTAAGTGGGATGAACACCTTTAATCCCAGCACAAGGCAGAGGCAGGCAAATCTCTGAGTTGAAGGCTAGCCTGATCTACAGAGTGAGGTCCAGGACAGCCAAGGCTACACAGTGAGACCCTATCTCAAAAAAAACAAAACAAAACTATTTTTTTTTTAAGTTCTGGGTCCCATGTAAAGTTCTAGGACAACCAGGGTTACACGAAGAAACCACATCTCAAAAACCAAAAGAAAGAAAGAAAGAGAAAGAAGAAAGGAAGGAAGGAGGGAGGGAAGGACACACGTGTGCCTGTGTGTTCAAAAGTGCACCACGAGCACGCAGTGTCTGCTGTCACCAGAAGAGGGCGACAAATCATCAGAGTGGGAGCTACAGGTGGCTGTGGGCTGCCATGTGGGTGGCTGGAACCTCACCCAGGTCTTCTGGAAAAGCAGCAATCACTACTCATCACTGAGCCATCTCTCCAGCCTGAATATTTTAAAAATCCATCATTATCTTTGAAAACAGAGCTGACATAATCCAATACACCTCTGATACTCTCCACCATTCATTTGAAACACACACACATAAACCAAAAAAGGTGTTTCAACAAAAATGAATTTTACATCTTTTTTCCATGAACTTGTAGTTTCACCATTTCCCACTTTAACCTAATGTCATCCCTTTGTATTTAAAACTGTTTTTGTAATCACTCATACTTCTCTGCAATAAAAAATATATATAGAATGCTAGCGATCTCACAACTTAAAACTTCTAGAACTGCAGCCCCAGGGGATCACTCTCTCTCTCTCTCACTCACACACACACAATATAATAAATGAACTGCTTATTTCAAAATAAACAGTCCAGGACAGCCAAAGTGTCGCACAGAGAAACCCTGACTCAAACAAATCCAAGCAGTGCTTATTTGATCCCAGTGCTTGGGAGGCAGAAGCAAGCTGATCTCGGTGAGTCTGAGGCCAGCCTGGTCTACATATTGAGTTCAGGACAGCCAGGGCTTGTTATATAGAGAAACCATCAAGAAAGAAAGGAAAGAGAGAGAGAGAAAGAAAGAAGAAAGAGAGAAAAAAGGAAAGACAGAGAAAGAGAAAGAAAGAAAAAGAGAGAAAGAAAGAAAAAGGAAAGAGAGAAAGAGGAAGAAAAGATAGAGAAAGAAAGAAAAAAGAGAAAGAGACAGAAAAAGAGAGACAGAGAAAGAGTAAGAGAAAGAAAAGAGAGAGAAAGAGAAGAAAGAGAGAAAGAAGGAAGAAAGAAAAAAGAAAAAGAAAGAAAAAAAGGCAGGAAGGAAGGAAGGAAGGAAGGAAGGAAAAGAAAATGTAAAAAAGCAAGCAAGCCAGGCCTGATAATGTAATGTAATGCAGGCCTGCTATCTCAGGTCTTGGCCTGGGCAACACAGTCATCTCAAATGCAAAATGAGAGCTGGGACAGAACTGTAACAGAGTACTTGCCTAGCACGAAAGAGGCCCTGGGCTCAACCACAACACTGCAAGGAAATCAAACACACAAAAACCATGGAAAAAAAAAAAAAAGGTATGAGGGTCTGAGAAGGAGGCTTTCTGCAGTGTGCCGGGGGCAGGCAGGGGCCTGAGATGGGTTGGAATTTTTTCTAGTTTTGAGTGTGGTGACTTACACCAAGTTAGAAGCCACTGGGCCACAGTTATACTCTGTTGCTCTGTGTGAGTGTTCCAGGAGGAGATGAACTGGGGCCCTAAGAGCAGTGGCCCACACCTGCAATCCCAGAACCTGGGAGGCCAAGGCCAAGTTTTATACCAGGTTCCAGAACAGCAAGGGCTGGGAGGGTCCCTGTCTCAGAAAACCAAACCACGGGCCCATGAGATGGCTCAGGGTGGAGGCGCTCTCTTGCCTTGCAAACCTGAGGTCAGTCCCCTGTAGCATGAAAACAGGAAGGAGAGAGCCAAAGGCAGAGCTGTATGATCTCGGCCCGTGTGCTTTAGCGGCGAGGCTGTACACACCGTTTTTGAAAACGGAAAACAGAAGAGAGAACTAGGCAGGGGACCCCTCCCCTCGGTGTCAATCTCCACCTGCCGAGCAGGCATGTACTGCGGCTGCGGTCTGATGGTGGCATGACACATAAGCACCTGTGGATGGACAGTGCCGTTCGCAAGGAGCAATCAATAGCACTATGCCCAGTGGTTCTCCATAGCAGGTCTCAAGAAGCCCAGGACTGGAGAGATGGTTCAGTGGTTAAGAGCAATGGGTATTCTTCCAGAGGTTCAATTCCCAGCACTCTCATGGTGCTCACAACTATCCATAAGTCAATTTAGAGGCTCTGGTCTCTCCTGACTTCCCTGGATATTAGCCACACCTGAGGCACACACATGTACATTCAGGCAAAATACTTATTAACAAAAAATAAGGTTAAGGTTAAATTTTTTAAAAGATAAAACTTTTTTATTTTTGAGACAGGGTTTCTCTTGACTGTACTGGACTGGCTTTGTAGACCAGGCTGGCCTCAAACTCACAGAGATCTGCCTGCCTCTGCCTCCCAGAGTACTGGGGTGTGAGCCACCATGCCTGGCTTGATAAAAATCCTTTTTCAAGATTTATTTCTATGTGTGTGGGTGTTTTGCCTGCATGTATGTCTGTGCAATACATGTGTGCCTGGTGCCTGCAGGGGCCAGAGGGCGGAGGGGTCAGATCCCCTGAAAGTGAAGTCATAGTTTTTTCTCATACCTTCACCACAGGGGCCCAGCTGAGCAGCCACTGTCAGCTGAGAAGCGTTGTCCCTAAGCCACAAACAGAAGACAGTCCAGCCAATAAAAGCCCACACCCCCTCATCAGCGAGAACAGAGAGTTCAAGGCCAGCCGGACCGCAGCTTTGCCTTCCTGTGTGTCTGTGTACCACCTGTGTGTCAGCAGCCCAAGCAGGCCAGAAGAAGGGGTCCGATGCCCTAGAAGTGGAGTCACAGACAGTGGTAAGCTGCCGTTTGTGTGCTGGGAACTGAACCTAGGTCCTCTGCAGTCACCTCTTCAGCCCCACACCTGTGGCTTTTGCACTGGACCTGGATTCAGTTCCCAGCACTGACATGGTAGCTCACAACCACCTGTAACTCTAATTCCAGGGAATCCAATGCCCCCTTTAACCTCCAGAGATCAGGCACACACATACATACCTGCAAAATACTCATACTCCTAAAATAAATCTTTACATAGAGAGTTTTTGGCCAGCCACAGCTACATGGTGAAACACTCTCAAACAAACAAACAAACAAACAAACAAACAATGGAAGGAGATGACTCAGGGAGTATAGGGGCTTGCCACAACGCCTGATGACCCGAGTTTGATACCAGGAACCCACATGGTGGAAGGAGAGAACAGACTTTTGAAAGTTGTCGTCTGACCTCCATTAGGATTAGAGGCGTGCACCATCATGCCTGGCCCTAATTCTGAAATTTTGAACACTTCTCTTCCCTGTCGTCACAGCAATATGCAAAAAATCTGGAGGCCATGACAGGGGCTGTGGAGAAATGGGTGTGTCCTGGCTCCTTGGAGTGTCAGGAGCTCCTCGGGGTGGAGGCTCAAGTCAGGTGGAAACTTCTGTCTAGGACAGTGGTTCTCAACCTTCCTGACGCTGTGAGCCTTTACTACAGCCCATGCTGGGGGGCCCCAACCGTAAAATTAACTATAATCTTGCTGTTAGGGATCATTATGTAAATATCAGATACACAGGATATCTTACATGCAAGCCCAGGGGGTCACGACCCACACGGTGAGAACTGGGTTTCTAGTAGCCCCTCTGGTGAGTGTGGTTCCTCACAGTAAGTCAAGACAAAGTTCCTGTGTGCTGGGCATGAGGTAAACTCACATCTTCAAAACAAGCACTAGAGCTGCACAGAATTCTAGCAGAGCAACAAGAAACTAAAATTCAGATCTGAGCTGGGCGTGGTGGCGCACGTCTGAAACCCCAACACGAAGGAGGCAGAGGTGGGTGTGCCTCTGTGAGTTCAGGGCCAGCCTGGTCTACAAAGCAAGTCCAGGACAGCCAAGGCTACACAGAGAAACCCTGTCTCAAAAAAAAAAAAATTCAGATCTGGGGGTCTGGAAAAATGGTTCAGCAGCTAAGAACACTGGCACCTCTAGAGGACCTGACCAGGCTGCAATGCCCAGCGCCCACACGCCAGCTTACCACCGTCCATAACGCCAGGTCCAAGGGATGCAGCACTCACAGACATTACACGGGAAAAACACCAATGCACGTAAAATAAATACATCTTAAGAAAGTCAATATCTGGTATCCTATGTCTGTCACCCAGCTACCTGGGGAGGAGAAGCAGGAGGGTCACAAAATCAAAGCCAGCCTCAGCTACAGAATGAATTTAAGACACGGCTGGGAAGAGTAAAGATGACACCCTGGCCCAAAACAAAATGTCAAAGGAGTGCTGAAAGCCAGATGTGGTGCAGACCTCAAGTCCCACACTAGGGAAGCAGAGGCAGGAAGGTGCCCTGGACAAACGTCCTTGAGTCTTGTTCTCAGGGTAGGCATGCTATCGAGGGAAAGGTGATGCTCAGAGGTAGCACTCCAGTGCTCAGATGAGTGCATCTTTTCTGGATGCAGGCAGCACCCAGATGTAATGGAAGTTTTGGTTTCTTTGTAAACTCAGTTATGTTATGTAAATATGTTTCTGTTTTAGTCCCAAGTGTGGGATTTTAGTTGGGCTTCACTTTGTCCACAGCTGACATTTGTCTCACGTGGGGTATGGCCTTTCACAGCTGCTAGTGGCCTGCCCCGTAGGGCAAGGGGAGAGGCGTGTTCTAGGGCTCTGAGGATATAAATATGAGAGCCCAGGAAGAAAGGGTGATGTCAGTGGCAGCCGTGGTAGCATGTGGCGAGTGGCGGTTTGAAGAGACCAGAGACAGAAGGGGAGGCGGTTTGGAGCAGACAGAGAGAAATGCTTCCTAGTGCAGCAACTTGGAGGAGACTGCTGGCTGAGTTTGCTGTTGATGGAGATTGATGTAGCCCTAAAAAAAAAAAAACAAAAAAAAAAAAACCATTGACCCTGAACAGGCGGGGGAAGTAAAGGGTCTGCACCCCCTCTTTCCACTAACTTCTGATGGCTCACAACTACCTGTAACTCAGCTTCAGGGATAATACAATGCTTTGTTCTGGCCTCTGTGGGCACCCAAATACAAGAAAGACACACTCTAAATTTCATGACCACACACATACACAAAATGAAGAGCCAGTTCACATCCTATTACAACCACATATAACAAAGCAACAAAGTGAGAATGAAGAGGGGAGAAGCCTGGAGACAGACAGACATACACACAGACACATACACATCAATGCATGAATGCTGAGGAGGAAGTTCTTCAGACAATCAACATAATCACTGACCCCCAGATTTTACTCCCGCTGAATAAGAGAACACATCCATCCAAACCTTGAATACAAATGTTCAAGGCAGCACCACCTGTGACAGCCAAAGAGGAGAAACAATTCCAAAGAGCCATCAACTGATGGAGAAATAAAATGTGGCATATCAAATGACAGAATACTATTCCTCCACAAAGAGGGTTTCAGGCTATAACAAGGAGGGACCCAGAATCAGCATGCTGAGTGAGGCACAAAAGCCCATATACATATGACTGTATTCAGAAAAAATGTGCAGATTAGGCAGATTCATAGGAGTTTAGAGACTGCCAAGGCCTGGGAGTGGGAAAGACAGAGGAAGTGGCAAAGAATGTGGAGCAGGATTTCTTTTGGGGGGTATTAAACATGTCCTAAAATTGTTTTGAGACAGAATCTCATGTAGCCCAGATTGGCCTCTGAGTCTCTATGCACCTGGGAAGTCTGAACTTCAGACTCTACAGCCTCTACAACTGAATGATTGCTTGTAGCAGGTTACTACCTTGTGCCCTTGGAGGCCAGAAGAGGGCACTGACTACCCTGAGAGTGCACGGATCACAGGTGTGTGCTACCACGCCCATAGAACACGATCTAAAATTGTTGGTGGTGATGTCAGTCCAACTCTGTGAATATACTACAAACTGCTGAATTGTCTGCTTGAAGTGGGGAAAGTACATATTATATGAAATTATATCCCAATAAAGCTCACTGGAAATAAGAACAACATGAGCTAGGAGTGGGGAATGCATGCTTGTAATTTCAGTACTGGGCTGCCCCTCTTTCAAAACAAAATAAAACAAAACAAAACAAATTAAGAGGCTGGAGAGATTGTGCAGTGGCTAAGAGCACTGGCTGCACTTCCAGAAGACCTGGGTTTGATACCGAACATCACGGTGGCAGTTCACAACTATCTGTAACTCCAGTTCCAGGGCATCTGATGGCCTGCTTCTGGCCTCTGTAGACACTGTATGCACACAGTACATAATCATAAAAACTGGCAAAACGGGCTGCAGAGATGGCTCAGAGGTTAGGATCACTGGCTGTTCTTCCAGTCCTGAGTTCAATTCCCAGCGACCACATGGTGGCTCACAACCATCTACAATGAAATCTGGTGTCCTCTTCTGGCGTGCAGGTGTACATACAGACAGAATACTGTATACATAATAAATAAATCTTTTTTAAAAACTGGCAAAACACTCATTCACATAAAATAAAAACAAATCCTTTCCCTTTTCTTTTTTTTTTTGGGGGGGGACAGTGTCTCACTATGTAGCCCCAGCTGGCATGGAACTCCATATGTAGACCAGGCTGGCCTCAAACTCAAGGAGATCCACCTACCTCTGCCTCTCCAGTGCTGGGATTAAAGATGTGTCCACCACAACCAGCTTAAATAAATCTTAATCTCCCTACAGAGACATATAGTGAAATTTGATGGCAGCCTGGACTACATGCAACCCTGTCTTTAAAAAAGGGGCGGTGGTACACTCCTTTAATTCCAGTACTCAGGAGGCAGAGACAGGCGAATCTCTGTGAGCTCGACGCCAGCCTGGTATGCAAAGCGACAGGTCTACAAACTGCCAGGGCTACTACATAAAGAAATCCTGTCTCGAAAAAACAAACAAAAGAAACAAAAACAAGCCAGTAAACAAACAACAACATAAACATATGCATATATGTGTTTATGTGTGTGTGTGTGTGTGTGTGTGTGTGGCTGGGTGTAGTGGCGCACATTTTTTAATCTCAACACTTGGGCAGAGGTTTTGGCGGCATCCTCCACCATTATCTGGAAAGCTGAAACGGATTAACGAATCCTGTCTTAACTCTCACTAATTCAGAGAGTCCCACGTTCTTCCCTGAACTGGGCCAGGTTGCTTTTCCATGAGGAACTTCATTTTCTAAGAGCTGCCAGGATGAGGGTGACATGTTAGAAGGAATGCTGGGAGATGTAGTTCAGCTTCCAAACCAGGGAGTCCAAGAGCGCTCTATTAACAATTAACAGGAAGTCGGAATGCTAAACCTTATCCTACATTCCTCAGGACTCCAAATAATCTCCCACAAAAAAAAAAAAAAGGAACTTAAGGACGCGACCCCTCGCCGCCTGCAGCTCACCTCACAAACGGTTATCCGACTTGTGGCTTCAACTGCGTCCCGAACCGGAAGAGTACTGTTTTTTCACACCACTCCTCCCACTTCCGCCAGGTAGTAGAAAACGGAAATAACACTGCCCCTAGTTTCGGAGGCGATTCTCCTGGCTTGGTAAGTGCTTTCTTCTTTTCTTCCACCCCCCGGAAACCTGAGCGACAACTCGAAGGTTCCGGTGGGCGAAAGTGGCTTAAATATCATAACCTGTACTAGACATTCTCCAGAGCGAGGCAGTTGCTTTGAGTCTCTTTAGATCTGAGTTTAAGGACTTACTCCTTCGCCCAGAGATTCTGATACCCACTCCCCCAAATATATACCTACTTTTTTTTCCCCCGTTACATCTTAAGAGACGATTGAGAACTCTTCTTTGCCTATTTTATAGAAAGAGCAATAGTCAAAGATCACGGGGCCAAGCTGGTCAAGTTACCCGCAGGAAACAGATTTACTGTTGTACCGCCCATTCTAGGAACCAAAACATTCCGTTCCCACCAGTTTGTAGATCTCTAGAGACCCAAGATTTATTTTCGGGTCTCTGCCAAGCAAGTTGTCTGTAAAGAGAGACCCAGGCTGGGAAAAGAGGGAGGAGCAGACTCTAATAAAGCCCCTAGAACCCTCCACAGCGTAGGAAAGCCTTACTCCTATGTGAGGCTGTGTCCCTGAAGACCTTGGTTCTATGGTTCCTTTAAATACTTTGTCCCTTACCTGAGTCCCTCCCAAAGCAGGTAATCAGTAGCCCCGCCCCCTGCCATTAGCCGGATCGGGCCTAGTTACTGAACTGGAGCACCCCTCCTCCCTCTCCCCTCCCCTCTTCCCCACCCCTTCGTACAGCGGGCTCCTGCTGGCCCAGAGGGTCTTCATTAAAGGAGAGGCAGGGTGTCTGGGCAGGTAAGTGAATGAATGCTCCCAGAGAAACTTGGGGGCGGGGGTTCTGGTGTCCTGATTCTCCAAACCACTGGGATCTAGAAACTTGGGATTCTAAGCTCTAGACCCTGGAGCTCAGGGCCTGTCTCCCCCTGGTCCCCAAGCCTTCAAGACCTAGAAGTATAGAACCTGGTCTGTCCTGTAATCTTTGATCTCTGAGGGTGGATGAGGCAACAACTGGCAGAGGGAGGTTAGCTTGGAATGGAATCTGCCGAGTTGGAAGGGACCAGGACTCAAGACGAACCTGTTTAAATGCCTTCTATGTGTCAGATTTGTGATGGGTGCTGAGGTATAGAAAAAGATAGCCTCAGCAACTGTGTGCTTATCATTGAGAGAGCGCTGTCACCTCTGAAATCCTCCTTGGACATTTAAAGACTTGGTACAATAGGCAAGCAACTTTGCCACCTGACAACAGAGTCTCTTATAAAGCGGCAGATGTACTTTGAAAATTCAGATGAGTTGATAGACACCCATAGTATCTGACATGGGATACAGGCTGAGTGCTTGCTTTTATCCTCATTCATGACTGCAGAGTCCAGGCAGGAAGTCCTTGCCTCGTACCTCTACTCAGGCATTTGTCATCTAGGAGTCTGCATAAAATATGAGGGGCCATCCTTCCCTGCTCTTAGTCTACGTGGGATTGGCCAACTGTCTGGATACCTTACCTCACAGAGAGCAAAAGCAAGGTGAGTGTTTGGGGAAGACCCTTGCAGAGGTTTAATTTCTGCCTTCCTCTACCCAGGATATTTGCTGGTTTCCTGGAGGCCAGCTCTTCTCTCTCAGATCTAGGAAGTCCAGGCCCCATCCCTCTATGCCTCAGCCTCTTTCCTTAGACCCACAAGCCCAAGCCCTAGCCTTCCTCCTTCAGAAATGGAATTCCGGACTCCAGTCTTCCTTGTTCATACCCAATGGTCCAGACCCTGACCCTCCTTGCTCAGACCCAAGCACTGGCACTCACCCTTAGAACCCCAGCTCTTTATCTTCTTTGTCCTCAGTCCTAAGGACTCTTTGCTTTTGACCCTGATGTCTTTAGTTCCTGACATCTTCCTGGATCCCCCGAAGGCCCAGAGTCTCCTAGTTTACCACAGGCGTTTTCCCCGAGCGAACCACTGGGACCTGGAGTTGCTGACCCCTGGGAACCTGGAACGGGAGTGTATAGAGGAGAGGTGCTCCTGGGAGGAGGCCCGAGAGTGCTTCGAGGACAACACACTGACGGTGAGGGTCTCTCTGCCTTCTCCAGGAGTTAATGGTCTCAGGCATCCAGCCTTCACCTCCCTCTTCACCTCCCGGGTGGACTGGTTATGTGTGCGGGCCCATGACTTTCCATGTTTAGTTGCTGTTTTTCCCTTCTCTTCCCCTCCAATCCTAGGAACGCTTCTGGGAAGGCTATAAGTACAATGGCAAGGGAGGTGAGTGATGCTTGGGCCTCCTGCTCCGTGTTGGGAAGTGGCCATCGGTCCTGAAGTTCAATCCAAAGTCCCCTCAACACACACAAGGCCGCCATCCCTCAAATCCCATGCTGTCCAGAGATGCCTGACAAGATGTTCCCTCCTTTTTCACTATGGCCCTTGTCTGAGAAACCTAGCACATTGCTTTCACACTCACAGGAGGGAGACGTTGTGGGTGTGGGTGGGTGGATGGAAGAAGGGATTATTGTCATGGGGCCCATCAGAGGGACAAACTCACTTGGGCCCTGCTTTGGAGTCCAGAGCTCCAGCCCCTTACAAGCATCTTGGTTGCTAGTGGGGCTGTTCCCTAGCAACAGAGTTAGGGCAGGAAGCCTGGCCATTCTCACCTGTCCAGTTTGCCTACCCCAGCCCCTCCTCTTAGTTCTGAAGCCCTCATCCTGGCTTGAGCTTTGTTGCTAAGGGGGGCTGCTCCTTAGCAACAGGGCCCTGGCCAGGCCAGACAGAGGAAGCCAGAAGCACTACCTGGCTGGCTTCCCCTCCCCCATAGCCCCATGCCAGCCACAGCCTGCTTGGTTGCTAAGGAGGCCTTCTCCCTAGCAACCATACCTAGCTAGAGGACCAGGGCCTCCTGCCCAGCTGGAGGACCCCCTCTGGGCACCAGCTGCCCCACCCCCTCACGGCCTGGTTGCTAGGGTGGATGCACCTTAGCAACAGGCCCTAGGTCTGTACAGTGGAACTGGTTGCTAGGGGAGATAGCTCCTTTTCTACAATCCTAGCAAGACCTAGTGGATCACCTGAAATCTTCCAGACTTTGGGGGACCTGTCTTTTTACTGTAAGCCAGAAGCTCTGGTGGGGCTGGGGATGGAAGGTAGCCAGATCTGAGGGCTCTGGCCTTGGCCATTCAATCCCAGCTACTCCTGAGGCTGAAGGAGAAAGATTGTAAGTTCAAGGCCAGCCTCTGCTACATATCAAGTTTGAGGTCAGCCTGAGACTGCCTGTCTCACTAAAACAAACCCAAGAGCCAGAGAGATGTTTAATTTGGTAAAGTGCTTGCCATGGAACCCCAAGGACCTGAGTTTGAGCCCCAGAATCTACAGGAAAAAGCTGGACACGCTGGTGTGCCTCTGTAACCCCACGGTTTGAGAGGAGAGACAGGAGAGACAGGAGGGCTCACTGGCTAACCAGCCTGCCTAAATCATCGAGCCTCAGCCTAATAAGAGAACCTTTCTCAAAAAAAAAAAAAAAAAAAAAAAAAGAGGCAGGCCAGTGAGATGGCTCAGCAGTGAGTCTGATGACCCGAGTTTAGTCCCCGGACACCACGTTGTACAATGAGAGAACTGGTTCCTGGAAGATGTGCTCTAAACACCTGTGGCACACAGGTGCCCCCCCCCCCACAGACGCACACATATAAATAGTTAAAACTTCAAAAATAACAAAGTAGATGACTCCTAGCAGAAAACGTTGAAGGTTGAACTGTGATCACTACACACACACACACACACACACGCAGGTACCTATTTTCTAAAAATCAGTACAGGCTAGAGAGAGATGGCACAGCACTCGAGGGTGCTCGCTGCCTGGCAGAGTACTGGAGCAGCCTAGGAGCCAGCAGACTCAGAGGATCCAATGCCTGCCTTTGATGTCTGTGGGCACCGCACGTGTGCCTGCTCCCCCGTCACAGCCACAAATACAGTAAGAAAACCGCTCTTTTAGGCCATCAACACAAGTCTGGAGAGATGGCTAAGGGTACAAGCACTTTCTGCTCCTGCAGAGGACCTGGGTTCAATCCCTCACACCGACATGGTGGCCACAATCATCGACTCCAGATCTCGGGGGTCTAACGCCCTCTTCTGACCTGTTATGGCACCAGGCATGAATGTGGTGCACTACACATAAAAGAAATCTCTCTTTTAAAGCCAGCAGTTCCCTGGTGGCGGCACATCCCTGTACTTCCATCTGTAACTCTCCAGTCTCAGGGGCGCAGCTCTGTTCTAGCCTCTGAGGGTAACAGGCATGCATGTGGTACACAGATACATGCAAGCAAATCACTCACACACACTTAATATGTGTGTGTGTATGTGTTTAATTCTACCTGGGCCATGGTGGCTCATGCCTTTGATCCTAGCACTTGGGAGGCAGAAGCAGATGGATCTGTGTGAGTTCAAGGCCAGCCTGGTCTACAGAGAGTTCCAGGATAGCCAGGGCTACACAGAGAAATCCTGTCTCAAAAAAAAAAAAAAAGCCAAACACAAGCAAACCAAATTGAGAATGTCGCCTTTTGCTTCCCTAGTTTGTTAAAGGGGTCTGTGACCTTAGGCACAGCTTCGTGTAAGTTCGACACCTCAGTATTTCAGGGTGTCCCACAGTTCATCCGTTAAGTAAAGACCTTCTGTCCTTGTAAACGTTGAAGTCTTCCTATGGAATGGCCCTTTCTCTTGTGCGCCACTGACACAGTTCAGTTTAAGCAAAAGATGCACTTCCTCTCTTCCTGCCCTTCCCTCCCCAGTGGTGGGGATGAGCCCAGGGCCTTAAGTAAGCTGCCCAACTGTTCTACCCCTGAGATGCATCCCAGGTTCTCTTTTCATGTCTTGTTTTGTGACAGGGTCTCACCGACTTACTCAGGCTGACCTTGAATTCACTATCAGACTTCCAACATGCAATCCTCCAGCCTCAGCCTTCCAAGTAGCTGGGATGACAGGTCTGCGGTCCTACTAGACCCTACTCAGATCTCAATGAATTTTCACCAGTTCATGGTAGGGTTCATCTTCCCATTCGGAAGAGCAGGAAGGGGCCTCAGATCTGCCTGGCTTCTCAGCCTTAGGGAGAGGAATGGGATGTTGGAGGAGGTAGCCCTGAACCAGCAGTAGCCTCTACCCACAGGGCGTGGACGCGTGGACGTTGCAGGGCTGGCAGTGGGGCTGACCTCTGGGATCCTGCTCATCGTGTTGACTGGCTTGGGAGCCTTTTGGTATCTACAGTACCGACAGCGGCGTCACCTCAGAGCCCAGGAGTCCTGTCTGCCTGAGTAAGGGGTCTTCCAGGAGGAAGGGATGTGAGAGAGGAGGGGGAGGAAGCTTGATCTCAGAGGGCTAAAGGTTGGGGCAAGAGACCAGTGAAGAAGACTCTGGAGCCAGGTATCATGCCGATTCATTCCTGTCATCCCAGAACCTGGGAGGCAGAGGCAGCAGGATCTGAAATGTGAATTCAAGTTTAGCTGGGACTAAGGATGCCCTGTGTTCTGGGTAGGGTAAGGTCCATCAAGATGACGTAGGGGTTTGACCCCAAATCTGACAACCTGAGTTCTGTTCAAGAACCCACATGGTGGGAGGAGTGTTGGCTTCTGATCATCCTTTCACACACAGAATACATAACTGCAATTTAAATGTAAAAATACAATATAAAGAAGCTGGGTGTGACAGCTCACACATGCAGTCCCAGGGCTTGGGCTGCTAGGCATAAGGGTTGCTGATCGTTTTGTTTTTTCAAGACAGGGTTTCTCTGGGTGGCCTTAGCTGTCCAGGACTCGCTTTGCAACCAGGCTGGCCTCAAAGTCACAGTGGTCCCCTGCCTCTGCCTCCCGAGTACTTACAGGCGTGGGCCACTGAACCTTAGGAAGCCATGCTGGGGAGTTCCGGAACTCAGTGTTTTTGTGCTGTGTTCCTGTCTGTGTGGACCTTCTGAGCTTTGTCTGTCCCTGTCTTCTGTCGACGTGCTGTTTCTCTGGTGCACCTATGTTTCTGTGGATGAGTGTCCACTCGGGTTCCTTTACTCGTCTACCTGTCCATGTCCATCAGGGGTGTCCTTTTCTGGGCCATCTCCCTTCCACCTGTCACCTCCCGCTCAGTGGGTCGCTTGGTCTGTAATCCTTTGATAAGGTAGGTTTCTTTTTATTCATTTCTTTTAAGGTTTCATTTTATGTGCCTGGAGCCATCGAGGTCATAGAAAGGGCTTTGGACCCTCTAGGACTGGCGGTACAGATGGTTATGAGCCGCCATGTGGGTGCTGGGAATGGAACCTGGGTCCCCAGCAAGAGCAGCCAGTGCTCTGTATGCGTGTCTCCAACGCCAATGTAGGGTTTATGCTAACCACACTTTTTCTGCCCTAGGACCGGGCTCATCATCCCTCTGAGCCCCCCGACGCCCCAGTCCCCACCCTCACCTCCAGGCCTCCCTACCTACGAACAGGCATTGGCAGCCACTGGGGTGCACGACGCCCCTCCGCCCCCTTACTCCAGGTATCGGCTTCTGCCGGGGTGGCGCAAGGCGTGGGAGGGGCGGATCCCACGGGCCGGGCTTGGAGCTTTGGGCAACCTACGTGGGGCGGGGCTTGCAGGGCAGGGCCCGCCCCACGCAATTGTCTATAGGGGTGTGGACCAGCCTTGCTGGAGTGCAGCTTTTCAGGAAGGTGGGGCTTGTGCCTACAGGATTGAGGATTGGTTGAGGCACCAAGGGCGGGTCGGTGTGGTCCTGGGGGGGAGGGGGCGTGCTGTTGGACTCTGCATCTTACACTCCCCACCCCTGGTAGCCTCCGAAGGCCTCACTGAAGACCTGCTGCGAGCGCGGGCTCCCCGAACTGTGCCCCTGATTCATAGCGGATTCCGGAAGTCGCCAGCTTCTTCGACGACGGCGCTTCAGTGTGTCCGTGGGGAGTCAGGGTCGTCGGACCCTAGGTCTACCATGACACACGTGTTTCCGCCGGGCACGGATACGCGCAAGTCCCTGACCGTCCCATTGCCGAACCGGTGCCCCTGCCCCTCGCGCGACCCCCCACCTCTCCTGAGCAGCGTCCCTGCCTCGGAGTGGGCAAGACTCTTGGGAAACTCGGACCAGACTTGACTCGACCGTGTCCCCACCGGTGCGGCGGGGCGCGTACACGCAGGGAACCGTGCACACGCCCGACTTGGTGTATTTTCCTACTCGGGCACATGGGCGGTTCGTAATCCAGCATAAAGGTGGGGGGCGCATTTGCAGTGTGCTGTAAGAGGGGTGTTGCGTTTGTGCTCACCTGGGGAAAGGAGTTGAGCTGAGCTGCCCTCTACCTAAAGAAACCTCTGGAAAAGGAAGGGGGGGAAGGACCTCCCCACACAAAAAATTCAAAATTGAAACAGTGCGAGAAAAATAAAAATGCAAACGAACTGAGCCCCGTTCCTGGGCGCATCTGTGCGCGGTGGAGCTCAATTTCTGTGCAGGCGCTTTGCGGTACACCCCCAGGCCCCGCTACTGCGCTCGCGCTCGCCCGCTCAGCTCCCTCTCCCTCCCCCTCCCGGGCTCCGCTAGAGCTCTCCTTCTCTCTCTAGCTCTCTCTCTCTCTCTCTTTTTTTTTTTTTTTTTGCATTTGCACGGGATTGTGGGAGGAAGCGGAGCGCAGCCAGACACCCCGCCGCCCGCCCCCCTTCCCCTCCCCCTCCCCCAGCCGCCTTGTGCAAAGATGGCTGCACCGTGAGCGCAGAGGAGGAGGAGGCGGCGGCGGCGGCGGCGAAAGAGCGAGCACCCAGCGCCTGCACCCATTCCGGGGCCGTCCGGGACGCCCCCTCCCGAGCGCGCGTCCCCCTTCTCTCTTGCAAGCGCCGGGGCAAAGGCGGAGACAGCGGGGTCCCTCCTCCCCCCTTTCCCTCCTCCAGGGGGAACCCCCCCTCCTTGGCTCAGCGGCTGCACCCCTCCTTTGCCCGCCCCTCTGTCCCTGCCCCCTCCCTCCCCCGCCCGGGGCCTTCCCGGGCCTTCGGTGGCCGCAAAGAGAAAAAAAAAAAAAAAGAGAAAGGGAGGAAAAAAGCAGCGGAGGGAGCGGCGGCGGAGGAGAGCGCGCGCGCTCCCCCTCCTTTCCCCCTCCCTCCCCCTCCCCCCAATTTCCACCGCGGCCAATTCATGGACAGGAACTACCCCAGCGCCGGCTTCGGGGACCCGCTCGGCGCCGGGGCGGGATGGAGTTACGAGAGGTCAGCGAAAGCTAGGTAAGGAGGTGAGGGGGACCTAGAGAAACGGTCCAAGAGGTGGGGGATTCCTGCTTGGCCTGGGCCTGGGGCCCGCCCGGCGACGCGTGCATCTCCAACTCCCCCTCCGGCTCTTGCAAGGGAGCGGCCTTCTTTGGGTTTGTAACAACGCCGCCGCCCCAGTTTGCAAATTGCAAACTCCGCCAAAGCCAGCTCCGGCTTGCAAAAGAGGGAAACGAAGCAGGCACGGCGCAGAAACAAATTCGAACCGGGAAGGCCTTGGGAAGATGGGAAGGATCGGCGAAGCAAGGCCTGGACTTGCCCCCATGCTTGGATTCCCGGCTTGCCGACCCCTCCCCCCGGGCGCCCCTGGCTCTGTAACTGCAAAGGTGGGAGGAAAGGGGAATTAGCTCGCGGACCTGGGGGGCGCGCACCCCCTCCCAGGTCCTATTGTTCCGGGGCTGCGCCAGGCTGGGCCACTCGGGCCCTCCCCCATCTAAGAAATTCCGCGCGCAGAGTGGGCACGGGGCCCCGCCCCCTTCTTAAACTAGGGTTCTGTGTGTTGGGGGGGTCCTGAGATTAGGGACACGCCCCCTTCTGCTCCCCACCTCCCTCAAAGCTAAGAATCCTGGTTGGTGGCGCGCTGTTTGCCCTCCGGTCCAGGGCCACGGATTTAGGCCCTTGAAGTGTTAGAGTCTGATTTTTCTCCCCGTTTGTGTTTGCTAGTGTGAGCGTGGGCCCTGTACATGCGTGGCTAGCCGCGTGTTCACCTGTGAACCTGCCTCCTGCAGTTTTTTCTGTGCCCGGTGTCCTTACTCTCCTGCCCTTCAGCCCCTCCCCCTCAACACTTGGCATTCCCAGTGTGTACAAATTTTTAGAGTGGGACTAAACACTCGGGCCCTTTCCTCCCCACGGGTGAATGAAAATCCTGTTTGTACATGCACCGGCCTTGCCTAGGCCGGTGCACCTGAACCTCAGCCTCTGGGATGCACCGAATTCATGTCGGTACTTGCACCTGGGACTTTCCCCGGGTCCTGTCCTCTCTCCACCTTCTCCCCTTGCTATTTGGGACACAAGCTGCCTCTTGCTCCCGGCTTGGCTGTATTTCTGACTTAATTTGGGGTCTGTGCTGTTCCAGCAGGGTTTGGGGTGTCCTCGTGGCCCTGCAGGATTGTACCTTTGGTTCTGTTGTGCCGGGGGAGGGCTCCAAGGGAGGACCACGCCTTTCACGTTGATGCTTCCCCTGACTTCCTCTGTCCCCAGTGTGCCCTGCATGCCTGTGTTTGCAAACATGGGGAGCTTAAAGGCTCCAGAATAGGGACATTTTTGTGCTTCCCCCCCCATGGGGCAGCCAGATTCCCAGTATTATCAAGGTTCCTTGGAGTAACACCTCCATTCAGTTGGGAAGTTCCTTGCAGCCCCTTCTCTGAGGAGACGCTATCCTGACATCTCACCCTTGCCCTCAGCTTGGTCTACGGCAGCTCCAGGACCTCGCACCCAGAAACAGACATCTTGCATCGCCAGGCCTACGCGGCCCCCCACCCACTACAAAGCTATGCCACCAACCACCACCCCGCAGGTACGGGCTTCCATCCCAGAGGGCTGGGCCGGTCCGCCCTCCGAGACATCTGATTGGTTGCTGAAAGTTCCGCCCCTGCTAATTGGTCTTGCCCTGGGTCCTGGCCCTCTTTTTGCCACTTCTCCGATGATTGGTTGCCGGTGAGGCTGCTGGTCCCTGCTTCAGTTCACACCGGATTCGGCAGGCCCTTTGTGGCTCCGCCCCTGTTGCTCCTATTGGCTACTACCCATCAGGGCCCCCCAAATCCCACCTTCTCTTCCAGGCTTTTCCTCCACTCTCCAGCCCACCCCAGTCCTTTCTTTACATGTGTGATTTTCCTGGCTCCTGACTTCCTTTTCTTCCCTACTGGCTCGAACTCTTTGCCCACCCCTATATTTAATTAATTAATTAATTAATTAATTAATTAATTAATTAATATATGACTGCACGCCTGCGTGACAAAAGAAGGCATCAGATCACATTATAGATGGTTGTGCGCTACCATGTGGTTGCTGCGAATTGAACCCAGGACCATCTGAAAGAGCAGCCAATGCTCTTAACCACTGAGCCATCCCTCCAGCCCCCTCTCCCTTTTCTCCTAAAAGTAAACTAATCCACTTACCTTGGCCTTGCTGCCCACACCTCTGATTGGCTCCCTTCCCTCTGACTTTTAAACCAGTCCAGTCTGAATGACACCTGATTCTCCTGGTTGGCTCTTTTTCTGTTTTCTGCCTGTTTTGGCTTTTTAAATTTTTTCCATTTATTTTCTCTTTTGACTTTTTACGGGTGCTTCTGTGGAGCTGGCAATCAAACCTGGAGCCTTACATAGGTAGCATTTAACAACAGCCTTCTTCCCTCTTTTCATTCCTTCATTCCTTTATTTTGAGACAGGGTCTCACAGGTTGTAGTTGAAGGTCTAATCCTCCCGCCTCGGCTTCCCGAGAGCTGAGCTGAAAGGCGCTACGGCCATTTGCTTGTCTTTGGTTCTTCCCTCCAGCCTTTTTCTGAACTGAACTTGGGTTAGCCCTTTCTGTCTCAGCCCCCACCCCACCCCCACGCCGCTGACCCCCCCTCCTTTTGTCCCTTGTCAGGCCTCTCTGGACTTTTTGACACTGGCCTCCACCATGCGGGCTCAGCTGGGCCCGACACCTCCGTCATGAACCTCATCTCAGCCCTGGAGTCCCGGGGCCCCCAGCCTGGCCCCTCCGCCTCCTCTCTCCTCTCCCAGTTCCGAAGTCCTTCCTGGCAAACAGGTAAGCGCTAGCTCCCAGAGGGCTGGAGAAGAGCTGTCTTGCAGTCTGCTCTGACCTGTGGTCTTCTTCATCCCTAGCCATGCACACACCGGGTCCCACGGAACTCTTCATCTCTGGCGCCCTCCCGGGTTCCAGCACCTTTCCATCTTCCTCTGCCCTGTCTGCCTACCAGCACCCAGCTTCCTTCGGCAGCCGCCCCTTCCCAGTGCCCTCATCCCTCAGCCTCCAGGATCCACCCTTCAGTCCTCCTGCTAATGGGCTCTTGTCCCCACATGATGTGCTCCACCTGAAGCCCTCGCAGGCACCTACAGTGCCCTCTTCGCTGGGTTTTGAGCGCCTGGCAGGGGGTGGCGTCTTGGGGCCTGCTGGCCTTGGCCCTGCTCAGACCCCCCCTTACCGTCCTGGTCCCCCAGATCCACCTCCACCTCCCCGCCACCTCCCGACTCAGTTCAATCTGCTGGCTTCTTCTTCTGCCGCCACTGCTGCCGAGCCATCTTCCCCTCAGCTTTACAACTTCTCGGGTGCTGCTGCAGGTCCGCCACCCGAGCGGGCCCTGCCCCGGCAGGACACGGTCATCAAACACTATCAGCGGCCGGCCAGTGCCCAGCCCCCACCGCCTCCGCCACCAGCCCATTCCCTGCAGCACTATCTGAGCTGCGGAGGCAGCTACCCCTCCATGGGTCACCGGGCCAGCTTGGCTTGCAGCCCTCTGGGAGGTGGGGAACCTTCTCCAGGTGCCGGAGAACCTAGCAAGGGTGGGCCTAGTGGAGCCACAGCTGGAGCAGCTGGCCGGGCCACAGGCCCAGAGACAGCTGGGGGAGGTGCAGCTGGGGGTGGTGGTGGGTACCGCCCGATCATCCAGTCCCCTGGTTACAAGGCGAGTAAGGGGGGTTACGGACCAGCCACAGGGGGTGCCACCAGGCCCCCACCGCCTCGATCTACTGGCACGCCCAAGTGTCAGAGCCTGGGCGGAGCGGCAGCTGCCTATGCTGCTGGGAAAGCTTCTGGGGCTGGAGCGGCTGGGGGCCAGGCGTATTCCCCTGGTCAGCCCCAAGGGCTTCTGGGACCCCAGGCCTATGGGCAAGGGTTTGGAGGGGGTCAAGCACAGGACTTAAGCAAAGGCCCTAGCTATTCTGGGGGTCCCCCACAACCTCCCAGCGGCCCCCCGCCTCCTGGCTTGGCTACCTGTCAGAGTTATTCTCCAGACCAGCTTCAGGGCCAGCTCTATGGGGTTCAGGGTGAGCCTTACCCAGGGCCAGCTGCCCATTCGCAGGGTCTCCCCACAGCTAGTCCTTCCCTCAGCTACAGTACAGGCCACTCCCCAGCTCTCTCAGGCCACGGAGGTGGCTGGGGACCCAGTTCTCTGGGCGGTGGCGGGGAGGCTAGCCCATCCCATATCAT